TTTGATTTACGGCGGCCCTGGCTTCCAAAAATAAAGAGAAAATGCAGCATAAGTATAGGGATACTCATGATGTAGAGTCCTATATTGATTTTGTCAACTTCGCCCGCCGTACGGCCGCCATTTATATATTAAGATAGAGCAAATGCGACGGTGGTTTTAATGATATTTTTCTGATGAATATTTGAGAAAACACCTTTCTTTACCTGTTAAACCCGTTTGAATAAAATAACAACGTCTGTTACTAATAAGTATTGTTTTCCCTCAAAGTACTCTTCATCGTAATATAACATCATTATATCCATTGCACGATTAAGCCCGGTATAGACCAGTGAGGCACAATGGGATTTGATGGGACTCATTGGGACTTAATGGGAGTCCATGGGGCACGATGGGGCAAAGTCATCAAGGTCCCATGGGACTTCGTGGGATTCGATGGGGCAAATTGGGATTCGATGGGGCAAGATGGGACTCGATGAGGCAAGTGCCCCATTGGTGTATACCGGGCTTTAGATGTTAAATAGTGTAGGAACAAGTCTTTTGATAGCGGTTCTTTTGGCAATATTCAATATACTGTACATTACACAATGGAATGTATAGACTGTAAGAAGTCAACAAAGTACTAGTAACATGTCTTGCTTATTTTGTTTTTGCATTTGTACTTACCTACATGTTCTTGGATTTTACAGAATGATATCTCAACTTCAGAATAACAAACTACACCAAACAAGAATACACAAAAATGGACCATTGTTTTTATCTATGCCACATGATTATTTTAAAACGTTATAACCTGGCGACCACGACAACAAGTGCGGCCATCTTTGTTACATGGATGAATTTTCCACATAATATGTGTTTTAGCGCTATATACTGCACTCCGAAAGTTTAGCAAACCCATTGGAGTAGGTTAAAGCCTCTACGAGGGGTGATCCAAAAGTCTTGGACGCCCCGCTCTAACTTTGCTATTTTCTAATATAATTACATGAAGCTTTCAGATAATAAACATAAACATCTTAACAACTTTGTGTATAAGTTTCAACAGAAACTAATATATTTTAGCTACTTTTCTAAATATTTTTTGATACTGGGTCCCTGCCACCCGGAACGGTATTTAAATATAGCAAATCACGTCACAACTGTTATAATATGGCAAATACTTTAGGTGCAGGTGCACATCCTAACACCAGTCATGATATGAGAGAATTTCCGATTTTCAGTCTGAGTGTCATCTGCCATGATCATCTTCACATAGTAAGACCTACTTTTCAACATATTTTCCACGAATTTTAACACATTTTACATACCGCTTTACCAATGAATGAAAGACATTTATGAAACGGCCATTGCCTATGTGATACAAATGCTGCTGGAGTGCCACCCTAAACCTCATCCAATGAGTAAAAAACATTTTCTTTCAACCCTCCTTTCAACTTGGAGAAAAGGAAGAAAATCACACGAAGCCATATCCAGACTGTATCGTGCATATAGTAGCTGCTCAATGTCAAATATAGTGAAAATATATTGTAGTATTCTTTGTTCCACTTTGATTTCTTTCATGTTCTGCATTTCAGCAGCCATCTTGGAGCAAAAATGACACCAGAATGAGGGTTGATTGTCTGATGTCATTTTCTTAGAAATTGACATATACGGCCATTGCCATATGTGACATTATTATTAAAACACAATTAATTGGTTGCCTAGTAACAAAGGAAGTAAACTAACATGGTTTAACATTCAAAATTTAAGGAAAGAAAGCGGTCAAGACTTGCAAAACAAGTCAAATAGCGGCAACGTTTAAGGCTGAAAGTTGCCATGTGCGAATACCGTTCCGGGTGGCAGTGTCACTATATTAATAACTATCTAGAAAACTACATAAAATATATCAGTTCACCATGAAATTAATACACAAAGTAGTTAGGTTGTTGGTCTTTATTATTGGAAAGTTTAAAGTAATTTTATCAAAAATCAACAAAATTAGAGCAGGGCGTCCAAGACTTTTGGATCACCCCTCGTATGTTTGAAATCTTATTTGCCTAATCTTTAAAGAAAAAAGTAATTTACGGGCTCAAAATGTAAAATTGACATAAATTCAAAAACCTCCACTTTTTTCAATGTTTTCAACAATTACTACAGGCCTGGAATTGTTGACGAATCGGATGACTTTTAGAATACTAGACATTCCCCTGTAAACCAATCGGAAATGTTCAGCTTGCTCGCTAGATCTGATTCACTCTTAGTTTTAAATTTTCATGCATGACTGTTTTCATTGCAAGTTGTGTGGATGGATATCAGTGACTCAATAGTACTTTCCGTATCATGAGGTAACAGTCGAAGACAAGATTTTTCTATATATATTTTGAACTAATTGCATAACATTTACTATAGGCTTTTAGACTTTTACATATAAAGAAAAATTATTGGAGTTGAGTTTTGCTTGCAGCGAGAAGACGGACCGGTTCGGGGCAATCTGCTTGCAGCGAGAAGACGGACCGGTTCGGGGCAATAGCTGATGAAATTCTTTGTCACAAAGTTTGGCATTTTTTATAAAATCAAACGCGCGTCATTGAAACTCACAAGATGTAAATAGCATGTCATTTACATCATACCTAGATGGGGAAAACTAGATCTTATATGTTAGAAGTACTAAATAAAAGTTATCGTGAAAATGAGACAGTCGTTCTCGAGAGAAAAGAGCATAAATGCGCATTTAGAGAGTTTTGGTCCATTTAAAAATCTGTAAAAAATTGGGGTACTTAAAAGCATCGGGAGGCATCATATATTTCAAATTAGACACGAGGAAGTCAATATTGAGCAAGTTATGGCTGTTTTAAATTCAAATAAAACCGTTAACCCGTACCGGTCCAGCTTTTGACCCGTACCGGTCAATTTTCGTTAGCTGCGTATACCAAGGGTGTAGATCTGAGTGTGTCATAAAATATATTGTGAACGTTTAAAAATGAAAAAAAATATTCTGCCATTTAATTAAGTATAGTAATGCGGTCCTATTTGATAATTAATCAATAAATGATTAATCAAATGTAAAATACTTATTCAAACGAACATGTTTTAAATATTTGGAATCGGCATTTTAACTGCTATGTGTTTGTTATAAATTATGTTGCAATGATGCACTTGCATTCATTTTTACAAATATAAGATATTTCAGGAATTCAAGAAACCCCTAACAAGATAAAGTTGATATGTTATTATATAAGATCTAGATTCCAATTATAAGATGCATTAATTATAGGTTTTCTCTATTCATGTCTATGTTAAATAACAGATCCATAAGATCTATACATTTTACTTAATACGAGGGGTGATCAGGAATTTCTTGACCGTTGGCTCTATTTTTGCCAGTTTTTATCCTTTCTTACTGATTTTTTCACACAATATAACCCAAATATATAGGATCGAACCATGAAGCTTTCACTGTTCTATGACATCATTATCCTATTATTTTTGTTACCATGGTAACTCGTGATGCGACAAGGTGGAGCTCAGAAAAATACCAAAGAAAAACAACAGTAATTTTATATGATGTTTGGACAATGTATTCATTGCTGAATATGTGACATACTGTCTAGGCTGTATTATTTCATTAAGTATATTCATAAATGTTCATCTATAAGTAACTGTCATTATTCTTCCATCAATTCTAATACTTAAGTAGTTACCAGTACTTTGTAAGCATTTGTATGCCTTTTCACCAAGTCCTGAAAGACGTGATACAGACCGCCTTTGCCTACTTTGTAAGATTGGTGTGTGAATTCCTGAATGATCTCATTACTGTTCTCAAAGTGGATACCTCATAATTTGGTCTTCACTGTTGGGAAAAGATAGAAACCACAGCCAGCTAAGTCTGGTGAATACGGTGCGTCACAGCCGATGGAAACAATCACATTTTGTAGGCAAAGACGGTCTGTATCACAACTTCAATGGTTAACATAGTTAAGGTGTAAATGATTTCTGATATTTTATTTGCACAAATGTGATATAAAACATTCCCATGTTTCTGGTTTACAGTCTTGGGGAACATCAGTGGTCCCTCCAAGCATTGTTTCTATCAAAATATCCTCTTCTGTGTTAAGTAGCATTACTGAGCTGACAGGATCAAGAATGTTGACAATGCCATCCAGCATAGCATCCCTTAGAGCCATAACAGCATTACATGCTTTACATACATATTCTTTTTCAGTGTGAAGAACGGCCAAATTCAAAAGTTGACCAAACTTCGCATGTAAGCATTGGATATTTAAATCCAAGCTTCCAAAGAACTGATGTATCATATTTTAGTTGAATGTTGCTATATCGTAATGTTTTGGAATTTGTCATAATTGATTCTCTCCATAAAGATTCTTCTCTCATTTGAATTTGGCCAATGATAAAGGATCCCCGATTACCATGGTAACAAAAATGAAAGGATAATGATTTCATAGAACAGTGAAATCTTCATGATGTGATCCTATATATTTGAGTTATATTGTGTGAAAAAATGACTAAGAAAGGATAAAAAATGGCGAAAATAGAGCCAACGGTCCAGAAATTCCCGATCACCCCTCGTAGTGAATCATAGGAAAAAACAATAAAGAAATAAATTCCGATCTAGAATCCACACTTTATAAGAAACTAATCAATGGATCAATTCCATCAAAAGTATTATATATATGCTGTTTTGTAGTCCCGATGACAATTCATAAGTTATTCCATATCGAAAATTAATAATTACTGCAACTATTCCTTTATCACCTTAATGCTAGTATATGATTCAATATTTCATTATTATAAGAAACATATATATTGTTTATTGATTTTTGATCAAAAGGTAAAGAGACGAATCAACTTGAAGGACATGCGTAACCGCTGCCGTGATTCGGTTCATTTTTTAAACTGAAGTCTGTGACTAACTTACATTAACATATGCATAAAGGACTTGGGTGACAAATGATTTTTTTAAGCACAATGCCTGTATCTGTAGAAATGATCACTGCAATACTAATTCTACTCATTTTTCACATTACCTTTGATCTAGCACTGTCTGAAACTACATGTATTGGAATATCACTTTCTAAATATCAATTGGAAGATAAGGTTTACTTTAAATATACTCATGCTGAGGTACTAGAAAATCATCTGAGGTCATTTAAAGTAGTGACTAGCACCAGATGCGCCACTAGCTGTTCCGCCATTCGAGAAACGTGCAAATCATACAACCTACGGAATATTGAAGGAGAAAAGCACGTGAAAATGTGTGAGTTACTTGGACCATATTTGACGAGCGAATCACCTACTGCAACACTAGAAGATGTCGATCACTACCATAGAAAAGGTAACTTATTTGAACACTTGAAGCTCGCTGATGTCAACAAAACTGGTTAGACATAATATAATGAAGTAGTATTGGCGACTCTGGTTACATGGTATCTAATTGACCAATGAGAGAACGAGTATCACGGCATGGAAATAAAAAACGTATATTTCTAATCATGTGATCGGTTCTTATCCAATGAGAAAAGGAGAAACATTTCAAAATACTTTTATTAGATGTTAATCTCAACGATTAGATATAGAACCTGAAAAGTTAATTGAGTGACATGAGTTTTTTCAAGTACAACAAAAGGGCATTATTTCAAACTTTATTAAAAGTCATTTTAGTATAATAAAGGACTTTTGAATATTAAATAAATAAATATACAGGTATGTCAGACCAAATAAGATCACGCGAGGATATTCCAAAAAGGGTGGAGTAGTTTTTGACATACTCAATCCCACTCAGACAATATATCTTTTTACAGAATTCAGATTGTCTCTGTTTATGCATGATTTAATTTCATATTATTTGAACTCCAGCTTTCTGTAGAGAAAATGTACAGCTGATATCTGGAGATGCTTACTATGTTGATGATTCAGGAATAACTGCATCAACAATTTATAGTCTTGATCTCGATCAAAGGAAATCTAGATTGGGAGGGTATGCATGCTACTTTAGTTTCTTTTCCATATTACAACACATACGAGCTCGGAATGTATTATTACAGTATCGTTCATTGTAATTTATAATAACACGCTTCTGATATTCAGTTTTTTTAAATTGGCAAAGCTAAAATCTTTTTTTTAATTCAAAAAGGCATTCGATAATCTCATATATATTTTTATTACGCTCTTGTTATATGTTAATTAGTATTGGCTATTACGTGCTTCTCTCCTGTTATATCATGCTACTCGACTGTTGTTTTCCCCCATTCTCCTGCTTCTAAACATTGCTCTATTTTATATATGAAATAAAATGTTCCAAAGCTCTTAAACTAAAACGATTACTGTAACATATAATAAGTAGCCTTTCCGCTGTAAAACGTAACTATTATTTGTATAAGTACTGTTCCATTGATATGTGTAATTCTTATGCTATTGAATATCACTATTCTGCAAATACTTAGATATGATGTTATTTGTTACTTTTATGTTTTCCCTCCGTAAGTTTTCAATGCCTCTTATGATAATAGGGGATGGGGGTGGGCTCCTGGTGCGATTAATATGGATCAATGGATACAAGCAGATCTTGGTGAAGTTATGGTAGTGGCGGAGGTGGTCACTCAAGGAAGAGCAGACCATCCCCAATGGGTTAAATCATACAGATTCATCTATGGTACAACTGAGAACAATCTCGAAGAGTATGGAATGGTAATATAACATATTAGTCCAACCTTTCTTGACAATATTTTGTGATTTCCCTTAATACGGAGGAGAATTAGACTTATCAACATGGGAAGATTCACCTTTTTCCAGAGTGAAACAAAATGCAACCCACTAATTTCGGAATAATTTCTCAATAATTCAGGAATCGTTATGATTTTATGTGTAGATGGAGTGTTCAATGGGGAAAAGATTGGTATACATGCATAGCATCAATAACCTGAAGATTAATAGATAATTCATTTTCTGCAGAGGCATGCTCTGACACAAAGTCACACAAAACTGTAAATTAGAAATCTGCTTTTTTAAAATTTACTCAACAAGCGAGTCAGTTCATCAAAGACAAAATTATTTAATTATTTAAAATTGGTCGTTGATACATATCAGTGTATATGCGAGAGCAATCCAGAACTGACTCTAAGGCTAAGACAGATATTATTTAACTTAAGGTTCTCCCGGGAAATGTGGACAAAGACACCCAAGTTACAAACACGATCGAGCCCGCTGTCTTTGCCAGATTTGTGCGCATTAATCCTCAAACTTGGTATAGTCGTGCATCCATGAGGTTTGATGTCATGGGATGCCCCTCCTAATAAGGTAAGAATATACCGGATTCTTAAAAATATTAGGAGGTTCAAAATGTCTCCTTATTCTACCCTACCGCTTTATCGCATTGTGAGCTTCAACATATTAGAAATACTATGTAAAATACTATTGTTTCTTTCGCACCTGGCACAAGCAACATTGGGCAACCAGTTGTTTTCCAAAACATTATTTTAATAAAAGGCAGCAAGCAACATGCATCGTATTTGAAACAAAACAACAAAGTTTCTTACTTATATTGATTGCCCGTATAGTAATTAATATACAATACATTGAAGGATTCTCCTTGAAATACTATGCGTTAACCAAGACTTCAAAGAGGAACAAGTCTTTTGATTACAGCTTTATCAGTAATACTCATTTCACATGTTATGTTTTGGCATTTATATTTACATGTTTGTTCTTTAATTTTACAGATAAAAATTCAATTTCCTCCTGAACTCAATCGATAGCTCTCAGAATGACGAATGTATAAGAATGGACCAGTCTGTTTAGGCTTTAGTTCTACCCAAAGAAAGGGCGTTGCTTTTGTTTAAAGGAACGTCATAGAGTTATATTATTGCGAATATTAAGACAGATATATGGATTCACTTTCAATACATCATATAAGTTTGACGACCTTAACTCCCCCATCGGCTTGAACGTGTTTCTCTATGCTTGAATCTGTATTTTCATAACCTGCCTTTATAATTAGTTCTTTGCAGGATAAGAATTCAAACATATAGCTTCAACACGTTAGCAAATTGGGGAGCCTAGGTTTCCAAACTTAGAAGATGGCAGTCTCCTGGAAATGGCCACATTAGAGTTGAAAATGATCATTATAACACAGTGGCGTAGCGTCGTTTACGCAAAGTACGCAAATGCGTCCACTGGAACAATCCAATGTTTATCTGAATATTTGGAAATTCTAAAGGACGATTCTCGGTTTGGAGAACGAAGTTCATCAATCTAAATGACCATTATCCCTGCTTCGGACAAATTTGATTTTTTTACATAATATAGATTTGAATGTCTTCTTTTGAATAATCATAATTTGATTTGGGTAATATTTCTAGATTTTTCTCAAAAAAATATTTGCGCAGTACACTGATGAACTTCTTTCCCCAAATCGAGACTTGTAATTTTATTGAATCGGTCTAATTGAACGTTATCCCTGCTTCAGACCAATTTGTTATTTTTACATCTTGTAGATTTAAATGTCCACTTTTAAATATTCATAGTTTAATTTGGGTAATATTTCTATATTTTTCATGAAAAAAATTATTAGCCCAGGAGACTGTTCTCCAAACCGAGAATCGTCCTTTCTCAAGTATTAATAAGCAAAGCCATTGTTCAACCTTATCATTTCGTATCTTTGAACAGGGTTCAACCATAGAAATTAGGTGTTTATTTTAGTCCCGACATGTCATTAATGATTCTTTCAAATTATACTCTCATAATTTCGTGAATACTAGGAGAATAAGTTTCATTCTGTAAAACTGAACTTGGGCCCTTTGTCCTTTTGATATGAGACTGCTGTAATTGAGTATATATATATACTCTGTACACTACAACAATTTTCATAGTTGTACGTTTTCGTTTCGTCGTACTGCACATGATATGAGTCGGAAAATAGAAAATATGATTTTATGTTATATTCCTTGTTATATTCCTTTATGAAAACACGGGACGATCGATACGTAAAGTTTTAGTGTATTGACCGATATTTGAACTTTGTACATTAGGCCTACATCATCAATTATTCCATCATGCTTTTACGTTTTTCGCTTGTTTGACAATAACGTAAATTGCACTTCCTGGATCCTAAATAAATTAGCTAGATTTCTCCATTCATTCTTAACGATACATTAAATATTTTTGCTTGAATTTCTACAAGACTTATAATGAGTACTTATGAGTAAATTTCAAGTGGAAATGAATGCGTATCGGGTAACCCCCCCCCCATCCCAATTTTGGAATTTTGCGTCCCCTAGTAAAATTGCCACGCTACGCCACTGAACATACCTATGATGATGTATAGTGTAAAATGTTCACAAGAAAGCGGGCCAATATAACTTTGAAAAGCCCGCGCCCGCTAACTTTCTGATTTGTCAAGCGCTAGGACTACGTCATACATTAGGCCTAGGTCAAATTGACTCGTACTTCGTAAGATACAAACATGGGAATAAATCATCATTTCCGAACCATTGCTAGTCAATTAAATATTAAGAAAACGGTTCTCTGACCAGACTAGATCATCATAGGTATGTTATAAATCGTTTATTATTATGTCACTATAGAACTGTTGCACATATGCCCTCGGTTCTCAATGATCAATGTCCCTCCCAAGACCGGCTATATATCACTGAAACCCTCGGGCATATATGCAACGATAGTGACATAGCCTCTAAATATTGACCACTGGCGGATCCAAAAGCTAAAAGGGGGGACCTTATATCCAAAAGATGGGCCAAAATTCTGAAAATTTAAGGCCCATTTTTGATAAATTAATGCCCAATAAGAACTGGAGGCCCTACAGTTTTTTGGGGCCGAATTTTTTCCTGGGAAAGGCTCCATGTCCCCCCCCCCACCCTGGATCCGCCAGTGTTGACCATATCAGAACATTGTACCACGTGTTGCTTAACACGAATACTATAAAGACAGTTAAAGCTACCATATCAGAGAGTTTATCCAGAAAGGGACAGAGGTTTTGCATTGAAAACTGTGAAAAGATAATGAAAACAATGTTTAAATATTTACATATGTTTATTGTCTTACGTCATGTATTATTACATGGTACATTGCTTATCAATCGTTATTAAATATTACATATTGTAAATTATTACAAAAAATGCTTTATGTATTCCATACCTACTATGCTTATGGTTCATAACGTGAGGGAATATATAGTATATCCATGGACGGGATAGATATTTTCTGTATCTATCCCGCTATCGCTGAGGTCCAGGAAATACAGGATGCTCCACACTCTGAAGCCAAAATGACATGTTGATTCCAGATTTTTCAAGGAAAGTAATGTGTACTGACAAATGGACATTTCTAACTTTTAAAATGAGGTACAGGGGACAATACTTATACTTTGATAAAGTTGCATTTTGGGGATTCATTTTCCTATCGATTTTTCGTGTCAATCATACAGTCATTTTGCCCCCCCCCCCTTTCCAATGTCTGATATTCACATAAACTATATGGTACTTTAGGAGAGGTAATCGAACGCATATCACAACGACATTCCAGGTAACCTCGTTAAACACTCTTATCAAAAACAAGTATTATATGTACATCAAGCTAAAAGGGCATACAAAGCAATATCTTATACATGTCAACTCTGAGATCTGTTTTATATACATGAGGAAAAAACGTCGTCATATTATTTACACACGAGTTATTATTTATATACATAATTTTGTTTAAGAGCCTCTTTAAAGCCGAGACTACTAATTTAAACGGTAGTAATTATCTTAAACCATGGTTATAAAGCATGGTCTTATAGATGGCGCTTAAGAAAAACAGTCAACATTCAAAGAATTATACCCCCAGTATGTTGTCTACAAAGTATTTAACAAAATACGGAAAAATATGAATAACTTAAACCGCGTACATTTAAAGATTATCCATGCATGTAATCATTACACAGTTATTCTAGGCAAGTAGATGTGCATAGTCTTGGCAAAAACACTCTTATGCATACTTTTAGTCTTGGGTAAACCAACACTTATAGTCCAATAGTCCACGTGTTCTACACACACCCGCTGAGAAAGGTAACCCTAATCAAATCTTGTTAGCGAATACTTTTATTGCAGTACATGCTGTATAACGTCTTCCCTCTTTTACAAGTATCATATCTGGTCGGGTGGTCTTTGTTTTTTTATGATATACAGTCACATGTAACGCTACACTGTCTACAATCTCATTTGAAGACCAAATATGTGTTTGTTGTTGATCTGTTAACTGTTTCCATTTGGATTTGTTGGCTGCCTTATTTGGTTTGCTTTTCTCTGATTGTCAAACACAATATTCAGAATCGTGCAATTTGTTCACACCCATTCAAATCGTGTTATAATGATGCGCACGCGCCATCAAGGTAGAATCTGCATTACCAAGGCCATGTGGTGACTTCAATGTGTAATCATTCCATGATCATGATCCTCTATTGCAGCTGCACCCCCATTCGCTTCAACGCCAAAATTGCATTGACAGCTTTCTATAAATAAAAATAATAGAAATTATTAGTTCTGGGAAAATTGACACAATTTTTTCTCTAAAGTATACCAAATTCAAGAACCTTCAATTTAATTGGCCGAAATGTTTTGCATGTCACCATTTCAATGTAGGCAAAGGTCTGAAACTTCCTCAAAGCCACAAATATTCCAAAGAGGCATCTGCATCCTGGGGTCTACAATGCAGGTGTAGTACCTATTGTCTTATGATCTTTAGAAGCCTCGTGATCTGACAAAGGTTTTTGGACTTTAGTAATGGGTTGAGTTATTTTGCAGGCTCGTCGTATTTAAATCGAGACAGTTTTTAGTTTTTCTTTGTATTCCCTAAATAGCTATCGGTCTTAAGGATGTATCATGGTCTTTAAATAGGGCGTGGTCAATATAAGGCTCGTGATTTTTAGAAGGACTGCGATCTTTGGGAGGCACGTTGTCTTAATTAAAAATGTCTCATAGTCTCGTGGTCTCTAAAAAAGCTCATGGTATTTAGATAGCTCGCCGTCTTCAGATTTAGCTAATTGTATTTAACAGGCTTATGAAGGTTTGTATAACTAAGGTCTGGATTTATCAGAACAAAGTAATACAGTATCATCGGTTTGTCATTGGTATAATATAATCATCGATAATGACAGGCATGGTATAATCCACTAAAAGCTGAGGTGATACTAAATTATATCAACTGAAATATGGAATATTCGAATATGTTTTGGCATGGTTTTGTATCAGACTGTATGATATTATGATTCTGTGTCAGATGTTTTAATTTTGAATGATATTTTCTGTGATACCGGATTAAACGACAAATTAAACATTAATATCAGATGTTATCATACACATTAATCATCAGATTTTACATAGTGAAAGAATCGTCAATAGCAGTTTTGCATATGGTAACACTGACTCACATGTAGCATCCGACTTACCTGCCATTTCCTTCTACAGACAAAACCGCGCAGCTTCTTTTTGGACAGCTGTTTGGGTTTAATTTTACATGGCTGCCTTTGTAACCATTCATGCTCAAGGCATTCCCTCGCTGACATACGTTTACTGAAATATAAAATATATACAAAATTACAACTAAATATGTAGGGAAATAATTTTCGTATACTTTTTTTGAATTCTGATGTGAGGTGTGTGGCAATATGTCTGCTACAGCAACTTATTTTAAACAGTATACAAGTGATGCAATATGGTTTGGTTTATATATGATTTCGACTTTATAGTCGAGTGTACTTCCACTTGTAACTTGCAGAATTGAACCTCCATATCTGTAAATGCAACACTTACGTTCTATCAGGAATCAACAGTTTCTTGATGAAGTCTTTGGCAGTATCAGATATGGTCTCGAATTCCTTATAGTTAAAATCATACTCTGCCTTTGTCACGTTTCCTAGTGTCTCGGCATCAGTGGGTCCCATAAATGGCGATAATCCCGTCAGCCTGGAGATTTGAAAATAATGTTAGTAGTGGGCGAGATTGAATTATGGTGTAATTGCTACAATTATGTGCGTTTGGAATATGTTTATGTATATATTTCCAAAAATATAATACGTAAGATCAAAAGGTAATTCATGGAACCCAAGATATAACGTTATACATCGTGAGGGGGTCATGTGTAGTAGATACAGGTAACAGTGCATAATTATGATTTCGAGTAATGGCACATTGACGTGCTCAAACGAAAGTACTTACTAAAAAGAAAATACTTTATGTTATGGAAAATAAAGATGCCGCATAAAACGCGGCATATACATCATTTTGAAGATTTGCAGATTGAATTTATCACTATTGATCTTAAGAGATAATCCATTGATTCCATTTCGAGGAAGAGGGAGTACTTACAATACATAGCAAACAACACCCACACTCCACATGTCAGTCTCTGTACCAATCAAATCATAGTTAGCTACTTCCGGTGCCATGAATTCTGGAGTACCGAACATAACTCTCATGTCTTCGTCTGGCTTCTTTCTTCGAGCTAAACCGAAGTCGATGATTTTGATATTGGTCCCCGTCCAAGTCAGGCACAGAATGTTTTCTGGCTGTTGAATTAAGAAAATAGGTCAATATTTGGAATAAAATGTGCTATATATAAATACATGCCGATTCAGGTATTTCCACAGTCCAAATTTTATCAAATGATACTTTATAGAAAACAAAAAACAACCTCCGAAGGTCGCTGACAAAATCATATAGAATTTAAACCCTGTCTCCATAATCTGTTCTATCTAGACACCAAACGATGGATACCACAACCAAAAACATGCAAATTGCTTTCACTGTATGTTTCCGATCCTAAGTTTTTGGTTCTTGATTGATATTTGCATGCTTGGATCACTTATCATTTAGTTTTTCCTTTATTTCTTTTCTTACCTTCATATCTAAATGTAGAATGTCTTGTGAATGCATATACTCGACCCCCTCACATATCTGCCGCATAAACAACATACACGCCCGCTCTGTTAGGATAAAGTCATCTCGGAGAACTCTATCAAACAGTTCACCACCCAAGATACTGCAAAAATGAAGGAACAATAAGTGGCATTAGGCTTCATGTAGATTAGGATTAAGTAGGTCAAAATATCTGGAGTTTTTATCTGGGAGATTTCTACCTTTATATACAATAGCTATACAGTATACATGACGATGACAACCATATTGAAATGATGATGAAATGACCCATATAGTAGTTTAATTTAAATAGCATATTTAACGTTTAATTTCCTTAGCATGTTTGTGGCTATATATGGAATTATTCCAATAGAGTATTTCTTGATGCAGATAGAAACAGTGCACGAATTAAGAATGAAGAATCCCAGCTTGTACTAATTCATGTACCTCTCACTGGGATCACGATGTAGAAATAGTTTACTGATAGATGTGTGGAAGCAATAGGATACTGTGCAACATTCCTCTTCAAAGAAAAATGGACAAGTAGGTCATGATGCCACGTTCACCAGAGATCAGGTGTTTTTATTGTTGGCAGCCCATTCTTACAAATAAAACAAACCCACGCCTGACGTACGGAGAGATGATGGTATACTGCGAACGGAGCGATTGTCTATTGCTTGAATGAATGAAATAAATTCCTGCGCCATTTAGTATCTCAAAACACGCTGATTGCGCAATGCAATTTATCATTCCAAAACTTCGACGATTTCTTTTCTATTCGAGGGTCGTTTCGTCCCCCCCCATGGCCATTTTTTCCAAAAGCATGCAGTTTGTCACGAATGTGAGTATTTTTCGTAAGATTGTGGGCCAGATTTGTTAAAGTGATCCCCTGGAATTTTTCTGAAAAGTGAACCCCCCCCTTGGCTATGGATTTCTAAATTATAATTTATATTGCTTTAGCTTTGTTCAGGAGGTCAACATACATTAATTTGTATACGAACCATTCTAAGACTAGATTTATTTCGTCCTTGTGCTGGAATGCATCATGTAACTGCAGAAGCCTAGCATGATGTAGGGAGTTCATTATATCAATCTCGTTCGCCACTTCTTTAACCATTTGCTCTGTCGGTGCGTAGACGCATTTCGCAGCGAAAACCTTCCCTGTTGACTTCTCTAAGCATTTCGTGACTTCCCCGAATTTCCCCCTAAAATGACGAAAATTAGATGAGGGGAAAATGCTCATCAGGTTCTCCCATCGGGACACAGTGCATGAATGACATATTCACTACATATACCTGACATTGATATCCTAAAGGTAAAGATATACAGGCCAATGAACAAGTCGTTTTGTTTTGGCGTCATTAACATACGTGACCCTAGGCATCGAAGCGACATTGACAATATACATTAACAATTGATTGTTAACTTAAAGATACAATTTCATATTGGTTATTACGAAAGAATCTGGAATATTTAAAAAACGAAAATTTTAAAGAGGAGAATATGGAGTTAGCAGGCTTAGCAGCTTGGTAGTTTATTTACAACGGGTGTACATATATACAGTATGTACTTTGATTTTCCACTCACCTTCCAAGGAATTCCAACATTTCAAATTCTGTTGTGACTCGTTTCTTCTTTTTTAGTTTGACTTGTTTGTGTTCTATTGAAAGTTCACCATCTGAAACATACATGTCAACATATTTACATGGTATTGTGTGATCATGGTTTATTTCACCCGTTCAAATGGTATGTTGCCATAGTTGCGGTTTTTCTCTGTTTTGTAGTAAATTGTCACGTTCTGAGCCCAATCGTGACTCGATAGGTCCTATAGAACTGATGATTTCATGGACTTAAAATATTGCAGACTTTTAAGTTGAAAAATAAACAGAAACTCACTAAAATAGATATTCAATAGGAATTGTTTGCTAGAGAATTGTGTTAATACACAAAAATACACAATGGCCCGAAATGACTCTGCATTTTCTGCAAGTAGCTTTACATTGTATTCAATATGAGCAATGCTTGCCATAACAAACTCAAACCATCAGGCCAGCATATGTGGTTTACAAACACTATCGTCTTCCACGCATTTCAGGGCATTTGAGTTGATATTATTGGAAACTGATAAGTATAGGCTATTACTGATAATTAATTAATCCCATCATCATGTTTCTGGCTTGAAGACATAATCCAGGTGAACTTTTCGTACTTGTTTATTCACTTACCATCCCCGTAATCTGTTTCATCTATTCTTATAATCCCATTTTCATCGTGTATACTTGTCCTTGGCACTTTTGAGACACCACCTTCTGCAATATCCAATTTCCCCCTTTCCTCAGCCACCGATCGTTCAGTTGTGTTGACAAATACATGTCCATCCTCGTTTCGCGCAGTATCGGTGTCTTCCGCAGGGGTTATTGTTACATTTGGCTCAGGAGTGAGCGGAGTATCATTGTTTGTAATCTCCGATTCATCTTCATCACAACTTTTGAGATTTGGGGTATTATCACGTATTGATTTGTTAGGATTAAGATTTAAGGTTAATGCACTTGTAAAATGAATGTCTAGATTTTCCGAGGGGCTCTCACATATACCACTACTTGGTCTACTTGTTTCTCCCTCACTTCTATCAGTGTCACTGAAGCCACCATATCCAGAGTCCCCACGCACTGATGTCACCACTTTATTTAATGACGTTTGCATTTCTTGTTTGGACGTCATCACTTTTTGTTGTGATGATTCTATGGACATTGTTGTCATCGTCAATGTTTGTGTTGTGTTGACATCGAGTTGTGATGATGTCACATCTTTTTGTGCAGACGTTGTTGTTGTTTTTGTGGTTGTTGGTTGTGTAGATCCGGCGTTCGTCTGATTCTCAAACTTCGCCATGATTAACCGCAAATCTTTTCTCATCCTGCCTGGAACACACATTGTAAGGAGTGATTTAAACTTGTTTTATTGCACTTTTAGTCAGAACAGAGATCAACAAAGCAATTCGGAGCCAATGCTATCGAAAATGACACCTGGTTTTACTCTGGGATTATACCCAACATATTAACCCTTAAAAACATTTTACACGCACCTTACTCTTTGATACTTGGTTTAAAATGATATATTCAACTTTTGAGGACACAAACGTTTATTCTAATGCGTGTGATACCTATACAATTGGAGTGACATATCAATAGTTATGGCTTCAATTTAATAAGTTTAATTCCATTTGCTCTACAATAGATTTGACAACCTGGAATATAAGAATCTGTTGTATTGGAATTCGTCCTCAAGTAACTGTAATTTATCATGTACCTTTGAGCCACATTATACTGAGGTAACTCACGCCTGTCTGAGGTTAGAATACTTGTGGAAAGCTAGCTATAGTGGCCAATGCCAATAAATGAGAAAGGCATTAACACAAGATAATTGAAAGCACGCATTTTAGCATAGATTGGGGAAATCTAGTTTACCTCTATGATTCTTGGATACGGTTATTCCACTTTCCCTTTCCTAAGAAGGAAGTTAATTTGTTTCCATTTTCTATTTGGCACCCTCTGGGTTATGCTACTCTAAGTATGTTGACATAACACTCAGTTTATTTCGAATAACACCAGATTAATTACCAGTAACTATTTCCATGAAATTGCAATGCCCCACACAAGGTTGATGATTGTTCTGTAAAGAAATATCAACGAGGATTTGGCTGAGAATACGTCAATCTTACATATATATGTGACACTCATTGCAATTCATTTTAAAATGTCTTACAGAATTTCCCCAATATTTACACGTACACACTCTGTGAGTGTAAGCTAAAGCAAACTGAATTGCTCTCTAGGCAGTGGGTTGGGGCGGAATTTTACGAGTATAGTATGGTTCAGCTTAGACAACTATACTTTTTCATTTTAGAATACATCTCGCATCGGTGCAGTTCATAGTGCCAAAGCACACGGCATCACTTCTGAATGAACTTCGCATCATCGAGGCTTTCGAAGGAGTTATTGGATGTATATCGTATCTTTCCACATAAGAAGTGACTTTTTGAAAAGCACCGTTCATTTTTTGTAAATACCAGACTTGAAAAAAAGCTAATCGTTAAACATTAATTGTAGTTCTCCTCAGATATTTATGTTATGATTTCAATGGTTTACTTTTTAACCTGGGCTGCTTTACGATTATAGTTTTCAAAGTGATAACTTTATTTGACGTTTTATTGCCAGTGGGACGCCGAAAGATTCACCACATTATCAAGCGTGATGTTTTGACTTAGAAAAGATAGAAAACAGCTCCTGTTTCTGTTCAGGTGTTTTACTGCTAGGTTTTTCGGTCAGGAAAAATACTGGCATCGTTACTATAGCAACGAAATCTTTTAGGTTTCTATCATTTACAATCCTGAAACATATTTATAGAACTCAATCTACAGAACGTGAACGGTTACCATGGGTTACCGAGAGATCTAAATTTAAATCGAAATTTTGTTAGAGGAAAATAGGAATGTAATGCATTGCATATGGTGGTGGTAGCGAATTGCGAAACAAGAATGATTCTAGAGAAGTAAAGAAAAGTATATATACGATTAACATTCAGAAGTTTTTAGTTAGTAAGATAATTTTCAATTTTTCCTGTGTTGTTTCAGAATTAGATATTCTTTACAGAATCTAATCAATTTCGATACACAACTTACGTCATTATCAAGATTATTCCATTATTCGATAATTCTAAAAAGGAAAACTTCGAAGTTTCAAAATTAATGATTTCGAGCTTATTTAGGAATACTTATTTACACGTTTCTTATTTGATCATTGATACCGATTTGATCAACATCTGCTGAGGCTTACGGGGAATATTTACCCATCTGTTTGGATTATCTCGGATATCTGGTGGAAGCTAAAAGCCTTGTGAACTTTATTACATTTATACTCATCCACTTTTCGTTCACTGTCGTCAAATAGCAAGAGGAAAGCAGCTTATCGATACTAACTTATTAGCCCTTACGTCATGAAGCGTATCTCGCAAGAGGTGCCAAATAACATTCCAGAGATTCCACACCGAAATGATTTTTCATCGTAACTTCCAATAATATTTTGCTTTGGGATTGAGACTAGACGGGGCTGGTGAGCACCTATGGAAATGTTCAAAAGCATATCCTAAAGTAGGGATCTGATTCTAGGTATTATCCCAAATTATAACTCAGTAGGTTAGGATTAGATATATCTATATTGTGTACGAGACACAGAATTGTAGAAGTAAGAGACTGAGTAAAAGTCCGATAACCCCCCCCCCCCTCCTCTCCCATTAACCTCACAGTTCTGATACCAGGCATACCTGCGGTTATGAATAAGTAGAGATTTGTTTACGAACTTCTGTCACGCCAGCTCTGTTCATTAAGTTAACCTGTCAGGAATATTAATAATATTCCGAGAACAAATTAAACCTGAGTTTATTATAAATAACAAATCTTGGACAGCTAATTCTAATTAGTTGGCATGGTAACCGATTTGTATCTAATACATTTACGACGAGACGGAAATTAATGAAGTTTGTGTATGATTTATGTTAAGTTTTTTAACTTGTTTTCAGTTACCTTAATTCCTTCTCTCTCAGTTATCACCTATAAAACTAACGGTTTGACTCGCCAGGGGACTAACGCATCATTTTACAAATGTATCATGTTATAAACCTTCTGTCTTTTAAGGCAGAATCAGATCTAAAGGGTGACAAAAGTATTTGCAACATGTGTAATTGGCCTAACAATCGACCCCTTAGGATCTCCCAAAAGACTCATGATAAAATTGGTGAAGTTGCAAAAATGGGGAAAATGTGATTAAATTCTCCAAAATCGTAAAAATGATAACCAATAAAATAAATCGGTAATACATTATTGTAAAATGCTTTAGTTTTCCTGAAATAAAGTAAACACTTGGGGATTTTAAAAAATAGACATGACAAGGAATGACATGTGTCAAAAATATTCTAAAATTGAAATTTTTTTACCTATACATCCGAAGTGATCCATATACATGTACATAACTCGGTTAAGTGAACTCTTTTAAAAGGCTAGAAAGGTATCACAGCATTAAGGTATTGACATAAAAATTGATTTACTGCAACTTAAAGAGAGGCTACTGTCTTCAAATTTTTTCGACAGATCTTTGAATATCAATAGTAAATTGTTCATATGTCCGAGATTTAACTTTTTAGCTAGACTTTCCATGATTTTATGTGATCTGTCGAAAAGATTTGAAGTAAGTATTAGATTGTGTATTTGAATTGTAAAATATGCCTCCCCTTAAGTATCTGTAAATCAATTTTTGCGTCACTACCTCACTTTTCTAGCCTTTTTAAAAAAGTTGCAAATTTTTTTGGCACACCCTGTACATGTACATAGCTCGGTGAAGTGACCAGTATACATGTACTATATTTGCAGTAATGGTGGTCATGAGTATGTGAAGAAAAAAGACGGTAAGTTCGTAACCTTGGAGGACTAGATAACAAGAGTGAGTGCTGAAATCAGCAGAGTCTATAATGATAATAGCCCTTCCTAGAATAATAGCATTAATTGTTTTTAACTGTCACGAATTTGCATTTCCAACCAACTGGACGGTTTGTTTTTTGACATATAGTTTCTTTATCATTTTCGCCTTCGTGCATTTAGTTTTTTGAAATGTATGCATGCTGGAGTTAAAAATAGAGGAAATCTGGCTCGAATCTCAAAATTTATAACATCATAAATTGGAGCCGATATGCTATGCCGTAACCATACAGATATGTTTACCTAATCAGTTTCACTTGTCTTGTCGATAGGCTGCTTTAAACCATCTTTACTTGAACTACTCACATAACTAGTGATTTACATTCACTGATATATTTCACAAAACCACAAAACTAGCTAGCCTTATATCAAGCATTTAGCCCCCCCCCCCCCTTTAAAGTGAACTTTTATCTTGAGTACTTGATCCGAGTAATGCAAATGTTCGTTTGAGACCCCCCTCCAATGACGGTCGGGAATTTGACAAGCAGTATCGGTCGAGGGGAGATATAATACTCCGTTCTGGGAATAGGGAGCTTTGAAATGAGAAGTTTCACTATATTTGACTAGCCATATATTGCTCCCAGGGTGGAGAAAACTGTCTCACTAGTTGGGTTGGTCACAAGGTAAGTGGGGGACTCATGCAAACCTTTAAACAAAAGGAGCCAAACCTTTAAATAAGAGGAGGCATTGGTTTTAACACGTATCAATGGAGAGGTTAAGCTAACAATGTTTTTCACAACGTAACCGTGAACGCAAAGTACAAAAATTAACAAAGGAATGTATCGAGCGCTCATAGTTTTATGCGCGCTTAGTCTACTTCAGATACTCTTTCAGCTTCAGAGTTTCGGGTTTAGAACGGGAGATTTGAAATTTGACGTTGGGTCAACGGGAACCATTTTACTCGTGTCTATTGAACACTATGCTGTCAATTTTGATTTCGATGCACAGTTGAATTCTTGCTGAACACGATGATGTATGTCATGCATGATTAAGCGCCAAAAATCTTACGAAACGAGCTCGTTTAAAATATGTATTAGAAGACCAGCTATAAAACCGCATCAATGACATACTATAGAATCATTACACGCTATGGTGTAGTCTAAACAAACACTGGATTTGAACGGCTATTTATATGAGAAGGCTACATGAATTTGTATATGGTCGAGTGATACGTACAGGTTCAGTTTCGATTATATATGCAAAGCTTAACCTCTCCATTGTTTAAATTATCCACCTAAAGTTATTCAATACGATTAAGCAGGGACTTATTGCATATAAATAAATAAAGAAATCTCGAATAACAAGTTCAGTCATCTGTAAATTCCCGCTTCGCTCGCAAGTAAACATATTGATCCTCAATCATTCATTCGTTGTAACTTAAATTCTAATAAATACTAAAGATATCCTGGCAATATTTTGAAAAATATTTACACGTCTCGAAACTCCCGTTTACAATGCAGATTTTACATTTTTACTTATTAACCCGGAGTAAAAAGTTTATGGTTTTGTTATCAAAAGAACTCATTATGTTTTTAGTTTCTATCCGTCATCGGTGCATTCCGTTCGAGAATGATAAATAGTCTAAGCTAGCCCAATGGAAAGTACTTGATGTAAAACAAAAATAAACTTTTCGTTTTACTTATCAATCGGGTTGCCTGTATATTTATGTGTACTAGATTTTCAAACTTGAGTTGGCGTGTGAATCTACATGTCCATGTTCCGAAAAGAAAATGGATATATTTAAAATAATTAATGCCCTCGAGTTAATCAGTGAATCTTGATAAAAAAAATCGGAAATAAACACAAAGTCATGAAATGTAGCTGTTTGCGGTCCACGATCAATGACCGAAAAACTGTAATTTATCATTGGGCGTTTATGGTAACCTAAAATAAAGTATATGCTCAGCCGCAGAGAATCCAAATTCCTAAAAACAATGGGAACAATAAAGAATCTTACCTTGCAATTTACCATCGGAGAACAACAACCTTTTGTATGTTTTTGAAAATCCTATATCGCTTCGCTCGGCTAGAATGCACTTTATAAAACGTGTTAAAAGTGTTTGATCAAATTATAAGTTCGACATTCTTATAAGTTTAACATTCTCACATGATATATTCATTACACTTATGATTGAAATCCATGTTCTCTATCTTGTCCATTGTCCTTTCTGTCCCGAGGTTATGCTTTGCAGTTGGTTGAGCTATATATTGCCATGTTTATATTATAATAAGGAGATGATGGTGTTTCTTTATTAATGCATGGTGGTTAAGTGGCAATTGTTGGCACAGCGTCTGTTTTAATACTAAAATACCAAATGTTTATCATGCACTAAATTGGTATTATATCACCACCGAAATAGTGACATATTTTTCTGATCACTAACCTTTTTGTGACGGCGTTCGGTGGTCAGCGTTTGGTGTCTGTAACAGATGGCATGTAGTGTCATTTTGTAAGTTAATTTAGCACTGTCGTGCTATATAGTCTAGTACAATGCTCCAAAGAAACAAAACGCGACAATGCAAAGGAAACTAGCCCTGTGCTGATAGGCAAAACATATACATCGAGCCCTATTGACTCCTTATTTATCTTCCATAAAATGAGAATCGTCGGAATTTGGTCATCGTATACGCAAATAAACAAATAAAAGGTATGCTCTAAAACATCGTTGGGACGAGGAACAAATGTTCCGTTTTCATTACTTTTGACTGTGGATATTAGGCCAATAAGGTACATTTAAATCTGGAATATAACCTAAAGGATCCATAGTGTCCTTCCTACAACAGCTTCCCATGAGCCATATTCGGGAGATTTAAGTTGTACTATGTAAAGAAAAATTAATGATACACGACGGTTTAGTCATCACATGCAGTGGGTTCATACATGTGTTTTGAATGTCACCACAGAAAAATGATCTCGAGAGGAAACAACAAACTACAATGGTGTCAAATTCCCTTCCTTCAAAAAATGATTAATGAGGGGTCGATCTTCAGACATAAACAACAGTCAGTTTTAAACGTACATATAGTTTTTGTAAAACCCTCACGCAGATACCTTCGTAAAATCCTCACGCATTTGTAAAATCCTCACACATACACAGAGCTGAAGCCTCTGTTTAAAAACACGTTAGGTTGCTTTTCACAACTTGCTTACGATTAAAAACCACCCAGTACAAATGCTGTGGCTTGCTCTAATGATTACTGCAGTTAAAATTGATATTTTATCATTAAACTGAGAGGGGTCAGTCAATTGATCAACTCTACAATGTACCACCTATTATGTTTTTCCGTATGGGGTGTTCCATACCAAAAATTCTTTACCTTTAGCGGCGTAGCCAGCTTATTGAGGAAAGGAAATCATATATAGAATGACTCGGGAGATCGTTATCAGCCTTCAGTACGTAGCCCCGAGCCAAGTAGGTAATTGAACCATGTAAATGTGTAGTCAGAGCCTAAAGTTGAGGCATGGCGTTAAACTGTACATTTTGTAAGAACTGCTCCAAGAACAAATGAGTTTAAGTCAAGTGGACAATTAAAAGTATAAAAAGTTACATCAAAAACTTTTGATTGGTAAGATCGTCAGTTTCCATTCCAGTGACTAAATTTTGGGGTGCCAATAATATTGCATAAATACAATTACTCATTACATTGATGATAAATAATTAATCATGCATGATTTCAACAATTAACTGCGATCTCAAAAATTTAATGTCAATTATAATTTATGATTATGTTAATTTCTACCTGATGTCATCTTTTTGGGTTGTCTCCCCTTATGTCCGTCGTTGCCCCCACCAAACCGCTCAACCAGCGTGCACACGGCTGTTTTGTACACCATGTCCCTTGGCTAAAGCGACGACACGACTAAATCCGAACTAAAATACTGATACTACTTTTAGCTATGTTCATCCGTAATATTTTCTTTTTCTTGAAAATGGTGTTTCCTTAACGTCTGTATGGTTCTATATGATCGTATTCCCTAGTTTATCTTTGATAAGCCTCTTGCGGATGTAAACAGTGCTGCCAAACAAGCCAGGGTATTGGATGATTAAACTCGGCTTAAAGGGTCGGTTCATTTCTGTTTAGTTGGATTCCTGAGATGACGTCATCAATCATATATGCATATTAAAGGCGGAGCATATTAAAATATGTATTTATCTAATTATAGTTTTAAACGTGAGCTACTATGATCAAAATATATATGAATAGCATTTTATAAGCTTAAGTTTATGAGTCATGATCTTTTTATTCATTGTAAATGTTTATACTGAGGCAGAATGAAAATGTTTGTATTGTTAAAGTGGAATGTTCACATGTAACTCCACCACTTTATAGCTATGAGTCACTATAATATGAAATATTTTAAAAGATTATCTAAATATGCCCGCTATGGGAAAGCTAAATATGTCTAATATTGTGATATCATCCCGTTAAAACAATTGATTTTATCTTAACATTTTTGAGGTGACTTTAGATAGGTGACTTAAGATAGGCCTGCCTGCAGACTTAAAAATTCCGATGAGTTCATGATTTGTGTAAAAACACAAAGTGACCTTAAAAGGTCAAAATGTTCTTAAATAAACGCGCTTGAAGGAACACTTAAACAAAAATCATATTCCAACTGGTTCTGTAAAATCCTAGGGATCTGCGAAGCATACTATGTAAGAGTATTACGGTTTATAATATTGATCGCTAGTTTTTTGCGTAACTATAATAAATAAATCGGTAAATAGATTCATGAAACATGAGCTCACGTTGAGGGAGGGGATAAAATGTAATAACAATTTTGGGGTTATAATTTATGACGCATTCAATTCTAATTACTTATTGTGAGAGGCGGGAGGGGGTCAACCGAATGCGCTAGTTTCTTTCATTTCTCGTAAATCGGTATATTGAAATACGGATTATGTTCATGTGAATGGCGTGGTATCCTATTATAGTTATCCAAGACTATGACGTACGTATACCCGCATTTGTATAAGAAATAATATGTGAATTTTGATGATTTATAGAAAATTGGTCAAAACTAGTATTTCAAGGTCCAAGCGGAACTTCAAGTAAAATTGAGAATCGTGCAAGAATGAAATTTTCACTCTACATAACATGATGAGCCATTTTTATATTAGATATTAATATTAGGATCTGTTGTAGAGAACAACAAAGGCTTACGTTAAAAACAGTGTCCGATGAGGACTTAAATAATGTCAACTGAAGCCATTTTCGAGGAGTAGTACGTAAAAAACTGCTGATCCAAAATAACAGATGTAAAATCAATGACTTGGCGTTTTTGAAATTGTCGGATGACAGCCAAACGAAGGAAAAGTGAGGTTCTCAGAAACGTTCTTCAATTTGAGCTCAAAGCTTATATGTGCACGTCTTTGCGGATTTTTAGTAATGCGAAATTTCAAGAAATGTCAAGGGACCTTTGCCAAATAATTATTTTTCTCTGTTTTCTCTCACATTTTCAATGTGAAATCTGAAATTCCTATCATTCCAGTATCTATTTCTCTTCATGTTACAATGGTGAGTCTGGTCATGTAAATAATAGGGGGAACAAACAAAAAAACGAAAAGCACTGGACCAAATCATACTAAAAACATGATTTTTCTGCTTCGGTCATCCTAAAAAAATTCCCATTCCCATAATAAGGATTATAATGGAGCTCCGTTTCTATTTTACATGGATGAATGTTTAAAAATAACAAATGTGCGAAGAAACTCTCTTCATGCCGTAATTGATGAAAATATTATCTCGTCTGACGTCTGTTTATAATGTATTAAGGATTAAATGTTTCTATTCTTGGACTATGTTCCTACCGCAGCAATGCATAATTGTTCCCAAAACACTTAGAACATCCTCCGGAAAAGTACTTCATGGCGACATTTCGTATCAATTTTTGGTTTTTGGTCAGTTTAGAGCGAAACATAAGCATTGTCAAGTGAAAACCGATCGCGTTTTTGTATCCATGATCTAGGCTAAGGCATTGTAATTGAATGCAGTAATCATATTTGGGGCTAGAGGGGCAGTAAATCTGTTGGTTTTCCTTTGATCTTTATTTGAATGTCTTCTGTGTTCGATATATAATGTCAAGAATAAAGATGTAACGAAATTCAGACGAGGACAGTTCATTGGCCTGAGTATCGTTAATGCGGTTTTTACGCATTTGACTAATATTACGTAAACGTGTTTTAACCATTGCAATAGTTTTTATATTTATATATGTATCTCAGTATTGAATAATGTAAAAGCTTTCAAGAGGCTACATATCTTATCCTAATCCCCCAAATCATTTGAATCACCAATAACATCATTACATCTGTTTAGCTCTTGATATTTTAGATTCAACAACCCCTGAAGGTCTCTGACATTTCTCACCATCTATATTATGGACCTTATCTATTGTATTTTCATTATTTCAAGTTTGATGTTTTGCATATTGTCGACTATGTTGAAAAACGTAGGCAATAATATTGCATTGTATTTTTATATATCATATATGGAATAAATGAGAAATGAAAAAAATCACCAATGATGAGCCTGATATATAATATATTCAACTGACATCCCATTTAATCGGCTTATTAATCCATCACAAGTGTCCACTTCTTAGCAGATTTAAAATGACAGGACACGGTCGACTTATTCACGTGACACTTTGAGTAAATCGTGATCGGGCTTGAAATACGAATATACGCTTTCCGATTGTAGTTTTATACACTTAATTACAATTCTTTGAAATTTAATATTTCAGCACAAAGTACGTAGCAATTTAATCGTATTACCGTTAATATTTGGTAAACGTCCATGTCAAGTCTATCGTGTAATCAATAAATAAATTCGAAGATATGTGACAATAAGGAACAATGGCAAAATATGAAACAACCGTGGAATGTTGGCCGAAGCTGATCTGGTGATATAATCAATCACAGGGACGGAGAAAGACCAAAGTAGTAACGAGGAGATTGACCCCCGTCCCAATCCGTCATACCAAATATCTATCTATACTAGCACACCGGAATAGCCTGACAACGGTAAAGTCAGATACCGCTGTCAGAAATGGCGGACATAACCGTCGCTTCAACTGTTTAATTACTTGGTCCTCATTTCATGGGATTTATCGTCATTAATTCTGTGCATGTATTAAGCTCTTGTGATTCATATGAAATCCCAATTTCGATCAAATTGGGTCGTGAATTTACCGTCTTCGATCGATATCGTCAATGACAACGGAATCTGAATTTGAGTAATTTAGAAAGACAACGGCATATGGTATAATTACAGTGTCCGTTGTCCCGTTTCTTATTTTGATCGGTTGAATTAAAGACTTTATTTCGATGGTAGAACATTATTAACTGTACAACGAGTATTAAGACACTTTGATTGATTGTTGTTCCAAAGGAAATTGGTCTAGGTGCTCTGTTAAATATACATAAAATCTAATTGAATCGACGATTATGTCCGCCATTTGTGACAACGGTATCTGACTTTACCGTTCTCAGGCTATTCCAGTGTGTCTAGGGAACTTCACCTGCATTACTTTCTCGTAGTCTCTTTCTCGTCTTTGATATCAATCATGATTTTAGCAAGAAACGTGACCTTGTGACAAGGTCATGGTTATTGATTATTTCAAAATCAAACTATTTCCATCAAGGTGAAAAACTGTTCATTGACGTAGGTGTCATAAATTTAGACGGAATCCTGCTGTGCTGTGTCATTGACGTACATGGTACATGGACTATGGCCAAATCCGTGATCTTCAAACATCGACATTGTTGAATTTGCACGTGGACTGTATCTTATGGATTTAATCTGATTATTAATGGGTTGCATCATGCAAACAAGTACCAGCAGTTTTTAAAACCAGAAAGAAGAGTGAACTAATTATTGGTACAACTTTAAAGCATTAAGTTGGAAATTGTTATTAAAAATATTGTTTATGACTTTTGAAATTGTATTTACCGACCCGTATCTAAAACTAGGAGTTCTGCAAAAGATACTCCGTTCGCGGGCAGTTGTCGCTATCTTCAATTCTACTTTTAGAAAGACTACTTATAAACCATCACATTGACAGAATGTGACATCTCATAATGATCCGTGCGCTCTTTATAGGCACAACCTGACACGCTCCATAATCCAACGGTAACGTTGGCTAGTCCAACGAAACTGAGCGTAACCATGGTGTCACGTTTAAGATGCGTCATGTACATGTGCGTGACGAGATAAATTAAACGTAAAATTATGTAAATTAATAAAAGCAAGGAGCTCGTGTGCGTCTCGAACTCACTACCTTATGGTAAAGTTGGGGATAAGTTGCATCAGCCAATCTGACAAAATGGAACAACTTGTTTATGCTTAAACAAACCAGAGGTAGCATTTACAGTTCATACACACAATCACAATTTCAACATGTTCGATTTTAAAAAAAGTATGTTAATACAGTAAGTATTATTGAGGCCTTACCTTATTAGGACATCAGTCCGATTCTGATAAATTTCCTCAAATTTTTAAAATATATGTATATCCTATGTTACTTTCCTTTGAATTTAGTTAAATGTACATGTACGTTAAATCAAATTAATATAGTGTGAATTGCAAACCTTGCCAAGATGTTGTGAAAGACGATTATTTGCGTAAGGCATATTATCCATAAGGTTAGGCTAATATTTTGTGTATATAACACGGGATCACGTTTACAAAATTTTATTGTTAATTTGAATAGACCTACAAAAACATTGTCCAGGCTATGTATGTCAAGTCTAGATCGGCCATGTAAAACAATATTTGTATGCTGGATTTCGAGGGAGTCAACAGTTTGAAGTGGCTGGGGACACATACAAGTCAACGGAGGTTAGAGACATCGCTAAACTTGGCAGTGTGTGACAACAACACAGAGCAAAGTTGCGATCGCGATAGGATGTGAAAGCATCATCTCTGTCAAGGAATTAATACAAGTTCTTAATATATTTAAAGTGAAAGCACGGAGCTCGAGAGAGTAAAAATGTTGGAAGGAATCTTTCCAAAAGCGTGCCAATATTTCCCCGACAATATTGCATTCGTTTGACGTTACTTCTAAAATAACTTATACATCTACATTTAATTAGTTCAAAACTATTTAAATCTGCGGTTTAAAAAAGTAGTTTCATCATACTTGAAATTAAAATATACAATTGAAACAAAGGGATGTCCATTAATATGATCCTAAAATAGTGGCCAAAATAACCTTAACATCAACTGTCCAACTTTAAGAAATAGACATGGCATGGCATATTGTTTCACTGATTATATTACCTTCACAAGTATTGGCATCGTGTTTCAAGATCAAGTGGATTTTAATGAAAAGCATAGCCATGCTCGCTGTACCAACAAAAAAACAATTCTAAAACCGAACCATTCTTTGAACGTTTTTAGAACCCAAAATACAAACTCTTGACGCCCACCTGTTTAGGAGCGATACCCTGATTCACCCGCCACTGAACGCTGTTGCTACTTTACTCATTTATATAGACATGTCTTATTGGCTCGTGCTGAGGCAAGAGCCATATCTCACTTGGATATAGTAGTAAGTGATAACGACAATGGACTGAGGTTTAAACGTTAGTTTACTAGTAGAAAACCTGATGAGTAAATATTTGTTGATGAAAATGAGTTAATTCCTCGAGCAAAAGTTTAACCCCAAGGTGTTAGTTTATAATAAAATTGCGTTAGAGAGGGTTTCAAACGACCATACGCACATTTTACAACAACACCATGAATTCTGCGCACTGATTTTCGGCAACATGATTTACTTAATACGACAGAAATGCGAGCGACTTCTTGATTTAGAATTGTGAACAATTTACAGCATTAAAAAAACTCCGAACATTTAACTATTTTATTAATATCTTCGGGGAACGAGAACAAAATTAACCCATCTTCACTTTTTGATATGTTTGGATGTTTTCTAAGAGGTCCAGGTACTCAGACCTTCACAATTTAAAGATCTTAATCAGTTCAAAATGTTAGGACTTTTTCTACTTTTGCCGTTCGGTAAATTACAACCGCGTTAAAAGTAAGTTCAGCAATTTACTTATACAGTGAAACTTGACTTAGAAAACACTCTTCTGTAAGGAACACCTGCTTTACAAGTTATAGAACATCTTTCAAAATATGCATAAAATTTCAATTTTTCAGTCTGTGTCAGGAACACCCGTCTACACATGCCTGTCTTTACATTTCTGTTTACACAGAAATTGTTCTCTGATACAGGTTTTACTGCGATAGTAAGCCTGAAATCCAGACGCGGAGTGATATTACTGGCTTGTGCACAGGCATTAATAGATGCGACAATCATTGGCAACTTAGCACGTCGAAATATTTATTACCAACTTGGCTAATTATTGTTAAAACATATTTCATGATTCACATCTTCAATTACAGAATAATATTATTACGACTTGGCAATTAGTAAGTGAACTATTTTCATCGGACACTTACATTGGCAGTTAATTTATACCAGGTCGCCATATTGAATAGATCTACTAATATTCGAACGGATCGAACTGCTGGATTAGTGAACAAAAACAACATGGATGGAGCAGGCCGTAAGGTAAGAGTACGAGGTTCAACCCACCAGGGAGATTTTTACCGTTTTGGTCCATATGCAGGCTCTCAGTGTGTTATGATTGCGGTGTTGGCTATCCTAGTTAGTCATCACTTACCCATTTCATCATGGTCTTCTTCCGATTTGGATCACATCATGCATCTTGGTACTATTGAATATGCACATATAGTGCAGTCTCAGTTCAACAACCAATCTGTATACTTGCAGCATAGTGATATTCCCACTCATTTTTCTTCTCTACAAATGCCTAGTCTTCATGGACACATAGAAAGTATCAATATTCAATTGTTAACTGACACATTTTTTGGGATTTTGACACAAACAGAAACTGACATTCAAACAAATTCAATGCCCTTAGTTGAAAGTCTTCATCAAAGTATGGAATTATCAAGAGCGGCTATTTTGACTATAGGTGGCTCTTGCATAGCTATTATTGCTCATGGTAACCAGCTTTATGTGGTAGATTCTCATTCCAGAGATAGCCAAGGATTTCAGGATGAAAATGGTACAGCAGTAGTAATGCTATTTGATGATGTTGTTGATGTAGTACGCCATCTTTTGTATTTGTATGGGAATCAAGCGTATAATTTGTCACCTGTTTCTGTGCATGATTCATCAGGAAGTCAGATCAGCAATATGTCACAAGCATCCACATCTACACTGATCACTCACCAAAAAAAAAATGGCAGTAAAGCACGAAGTTCACTACTAAACAGTATTAGCAACAGTCATCCACGCAGCTATACTAACAACTGTTCAAGTGAGGTATTTAAATATGATGAACCAAAAAAGGTACCTAATGGAGTACATCACGAGAGCCACACATATTCAAGTTCGATCAGCCATCCTTCACAAACATCCACACACATGCCAACAAGTCACTCGAAACAAACTGGTAAAAAAGAACAAGGCTTAGTAATGAACAAAAATGGAACTGATACCAGGAAAATACAAAAAATTGCTAAAACCAAAGCTAGTACACCACATGAGAAACATACATATTCACGTCAGATTAACAGTATGTCACCTACATCCACACATACACTGGCCACCCAACCAAAACAAAGTAGCAACAATAAACCTGTTAAAAGGAAACCAGTCAAAAGGAAACCAGTACTTCATGAGAACCATACATATACTAAACTCAGTAAACATCAAAACAAAAGCAATATCAAGTCTACTAACTTGATATTCACAAAGCCATTGCCATCAACTGCAGACAATCAGGAAAATATGACCGATAATACAACAAAAAATGCTTCAATAAGGAAAACACAGACACATTTGACAGTCATCAATACACAAAGAAAGACAACAGCACATATAAATGACTCCATTGCATCATCCAACATAGAGAATGTTGCAGATCATCATGAATTGACAAAAGTATCCTCTTTCAGATATCATGATTCAGATTGTATACAGTCATATGTGAATTCTGTTACATCTATACCAAATGTTTCATGTCATTCATGTAAGAGACTACTGTTTCAAAAGACAATTCTTCATAGTGAGTACAATATAACTGATACATTTGATGTGAAACCTACTGAAAGTTTGTTCACATATTGTAAAATGTGTCATGATTCTTTGGAGAAAGGAAAATTACCAGTTTTTTACAATGATGAATCTTTAGTATCTGCTGTTCCAAAAGAACTAAGTTCTCTTAAGATCATTGAAAAAAGGTTGATAGCCCTGGTTGAAATGTTTGTGACTTTGATTGTATTGCCCGGTAATCAGTTAGCACAGCATGGTTTGGCCATTCATTTTCCAAATGATAAAATCCAAGATAACATCAACAAAATTGTCAAAACACCACATGATCTTGGAATAATTCCAGTGACTCTTCAACAATGTAATGACACTGAAAAGATTATACCAGCTAGATATGAATATGTTATGTCAGCCTTTAAGTGGTTAGTGAAACATAACCATCTTTATGCTGAATATAACACCTCTTTTATTAACAACACGAGACAAATCATGTCAAGCAACATTTCATTAGATGAATACGAAGAAAGTGGTTCAGTGCTTATGAACTATACAACTAACTCCACCAACACTGAAGGATTGTTTTTACCCTTGGTCAGCGTAAAACCAGTCACTATTATGGACATCCCGTATGGTGAAGAAAAAGCATTTCCATGGTTGTTTCCACTTGGATATGGTGGCTTTGATAGATACAAAGATCTTAATGTGAAACTTTTGCAATATTATCATTACAGGTTTTATCATAAAGATTCACGCTGGCGTACAAATATACCATATATTATACAGAGTGTAAATAACTATGAATGGACACGTTTACTGTCAAGTGTCACAACTTACATGCGTCTCAAAAAACCTACATTGTCATCAAATACATCAACTTATTATGAGTCTATTACTGCTGGTGACATCCGTTTGAACTCAGAAGTATCAAAACAAAATTCATATATGTTCATGAAACAAATCAGAGGAACAGTTGCATATTGGAAAAATACTTTATCAAATTTACTAGCATCACTTAAAAGTCTGGGACCCCCAACATTATTCATAACATTATCTGCAAATGATAATTGGCCAGAGTTGAAACAATATTTGAAGATTAACGGATCTACACATGTTAAGGACAATCCATTCATGGCTGCAATGGCTTTCAAGAATAGATGGGAATCATTACTCAACCTTCTTAAAGGTCCTCATTGTCCATTTGGTAATATTTTAGATCATTTTGGAAGAATTGAGTTCCAAAATCGTGGAAGTCCTCACATGCATTTGTTTTTATGGCTAGCAGATTGCCCAAATTTTGAAACAAATACAAGTGAAATTGTCACTAAATTTATTGATAAGCATATTCAAACAACTCTTCCTGAGCCAAATACTGAACTGCATAGTTTAGTTAAAACGTTTCAGACACATAAACATACATTTACATGTCAACGTCGTGGTAGATGTAGATTTAGTTTTCCCCAAAAATTAACTCCTCAAACTGTTTTGATTAGAAATGCAGAAATGATTCACACAAACAAAGGTAAATTCTACCTTACAAAGAGAAAAGCAGGTGAGGAGAACATAAATCCTTATAATGCTTTTCTCCTTAAACATTGGCGTGCAAATATAGATATACAAGTTATTGGTAATGCAAATGGTGCTGCCTATTATGTCTGTTCTTATTTATGTAAGGTAGAACCTGATGAACTAAAGAGTATTCTTAGTACTTTATTTTCTAATGATTCCTACAGAGAAAAACCACGTAGACAACAACTTATTAAATTAGGCTGTACAATACTAAAACACAGAAGACTCAGTGCTCAAGAAGCAATTTACAGAATATGTGGGTTTCCTTTAGTGTACAATTCAAGATCAGTATTATATGTAAATACTATGATGCCGAGCAAACGAGTTAAAATGCTAAAACCCAAAAAAATGATTGATGAATTACCTAGCGATAGTACAGAATTGTATGAGCCTAATATTTTAGATTATTATCATTCACGTCCTAGTGAATTAGAAAATATGTCATTTCATGAGTTTGCTTCTTGGTACATCATATGCCCACCACCAAAAAAAAAATATGCAAATAATAGACACCAACCAACATTTCAACTGCTTCTCCCTCATCAAGGAAAGTTTATCAGAAGAAGACGCCACCATGTTGTCATAAGAACAACTAACAGTGCATTAAATTCAGATGATTATTATTACTCTTGTATTTTGTTACATTGTCCCCATCGGAATGAAACAGCATTATTCAAAGACTTTCCAACCATTCCACATGCATTTCAGGCTCATCAGACATCTTTCAAGACACTATCTATTCAAAATACACAATTTGCTGCAGAGTTGGAATCTGCAATACTGCGAGTTCGCTTAACTCATGAACAGTTATCTGATAATGTGTGTCCTAACACTAACAATTTGACATTTGAAACTAATGATTTACTAAATGACAATTATACAGCCATAAACACTTCACTTATACATAATAAACCAAATCTGCAACAATCAAATCAAACTGTTTCAAATGTCAACACCACTGACTTTGCAGCTGTGGATGCTGAACTACATCATTTGACAGTATCAAACATTACCTACGAGGAAATATTAAACAATATAGCTAAATTGACTGAAGATCAAAAAAAATTGTTTCAAAATGTTAAACACCATTACCAGAGTACATGTTCCACAAAACAGCCTCTCAGATTATTCATAACAGGAGGAGCTGGAGTAGGAAAATCATACTTATTAAGGTTAATTGTTCAGTGGCTTAGATTATGCACTTACAATATATACAATACAGATCCCGTTATAGTTACTGCACCCACTGGCATAGCAGCTAGAAATGTAAAAGGTTATACTTTACACAGTGTTTTTAAATTGCCAATCCAACGTACTTATGAACCAGTCATGTACCCACTCACACCAACGGTACTAAAAGATACACAAATGCGATTCAAGCATATTCATACTATTATTATAGATGAAATCAGTATGGTTAGCTGCAAGTCGCTTGGTTTCATACATGAGAGGCTCACTGCCATTTCAAACAAACAGGAGCCTTTTGGAGGTTACAATATCATTCTAGTTGGTGACTTTTACCAATTAAGACCAGTTCGTGGACTATATGCCTTTGAAAATGAATTATTATGGTCATGCTTCAACTCACATGTATTAAAAACTAATGTTCGTCAATCAGGAGATCCTAGATATACTAAAATATTAAATGAAATTCGCCTAGGCTACATGTCTGAAGAATCAACAACACTTCTTTTATCAAGGATGACACATAATGTAAATATGACAGCATTTGAAGATGCACTGCGAATATATCCTACAAATGATGAAGTAGAAAGTTACAATAAGGACAAGCAGAATTTATTGAACCCAGATACAATTAAAATTGAATCCGATCACATTTTTTCTCAGTATGATTTTCAACCAGGACATGATGTACCTATGACTTTCATACCAGAGTGTAATAAAGAAGCAGGTGGCTTACCAAGATATCTAGAGGTTACTAAAGGAACACGTGTCATGTTACTGAGAAATTTATTAACACGAGAAGGACTAGTAAATGGAGCAATGGGAACTGTAACCCATATAACTTATACAAGTGAAAATAAAGTACATGAAATATATGTAAAATTCGATGACACTACAATAGGAAAAAGTCTAAAGAATAAACATTATAATGATGCTATTCCAATTACAAGGTATATGCAGGAATATCTCTACAGAGGACGTTATGTTAATAGAATTCAGTTTCCATTGACACCATGTTGGGCTTGTACAGTCCATAAAGTACAAGGGATAAGTCTACAAAAGGCAGTTATTTCACTGGGTAATACCTTATTTCAAGCTGGACAAGCCTATGTGGCACTAAGTAGAGTAACTTCCTTAGAAGGACTAGCATTATTGGAATTCAATCCAAATCGAATATATTCAGCAACAAAAGTCATGTCATTTTATGCCAGTCTAATCACATGATCAAATGAAGACCTTAATAATTAACATTATACCATTATTACAATCGAACATTTTATCCTTTGAATCATTCATACAACTTAACAATACTAGTTCTCATATTATTGCATGTCAGTAAACAACTGTGATTGTAATACAACTCAGTCATGTTATCTGTGCAATTCTTATCTAACAAATAAAAAAATATTGACTATTACGCCCTTATTTGAATCATTCATGATTAAATCAGTTATTCCTAAATTTATGCATATCCATTGAACCTTAACTACTTCCTGAATTATACAATTCACTATAACAAATAAATGTTAGTAACAGTCAATAATCAATCAATGTTAAGTACTTTTAATATTCATTTAATTTAGTATTTATTATTTCTAATTTATGCCACAGATCAATCAATCATTAACAAGCATAATTCTTAAATTCATGCATAAACTATAAAATTATATTGGAAACAAATTCTAAATAATTAATCAAATTTAACTATTATTCAGAAGTTAAATGAAATACAAGATGACAGCACATTGAGTACAACGTTTCTCATGGGACACGTCATAAAGCTTGAAGAGACCAGACAGCACACTTCCAATCAGGGAAAAAACACCCAGAGAGCCACTGGATACCTTGCCGACGAAACAGGCTACAAAGAAATTGTGTTTATTGGAGAAAAGGCTATAAATGCAGCAAAAGTAGCCAACAGGAAGCAAAACACAATCTGTTTAAAGTAAGTAATCAGTTATAACGTTATCCACTATAATCATATCAAATAAACTAGTTCATAGGCTATATATGCAGCAATCAACTGATTTCAAAATAGTAATTTTTATTTCAAAATGTCCATTATAATTCCACAAAGAACTCAGTTGATGTTCTTGATGTTAACATAATTCACTCAAATGTTTGCTTTATTGGAATTTCAATGTTTTAAATTATAGAAAAATATATGTCATTATTTACTAGTCATCATAATACCAAATCCACAACTACACAAAAATATACGCAGAATATCATCTTAAGGCTCTTCCAGCTATCTCACACTACGCACTTTCTTTTGCTTTTAGGATTCAAGACTATGGTTACTCTAAATCCACAATCTATGCATCCAGTCTAACAAACCTGCAGTTCATGAAGCAAATCCTCACCATCTCGCCTGAAATGAGACAACAAATTCTGTCACGAAATCTACCAGGAAACATCGATTCAGTCATCAAAATTCACTCTTCCCCAGTCAAATCTAGAGTGGACATTAAGGGAAAAATTGTTAAGGTAAGTTATCAGCATAACATCAATTTTATATTTCCTTAATTACATATTAATATTAAAATATCACACTTCTCTCAAAGATATCCACAAACTGCTTCATAATGTATATCTATTTACAATACTGAAGTAAATTGACTACTTTATAACTTTACTACAATATTGTGCCTTTTGTTGCTATTATAAAGGAAGCTTTCTACACATTTCCACATACTAAACTAGGGACAACATCTAACGCTCTGCTGTTCTAAGTGAGCCAAGATAGCTATGGCCACTATTTTTATTGTTACTACAAAATAAAGCAAAATAAATTAAACCAAACATTTCAAAAAATCAGTTTATCATGGTTCAAACCAATTCTAACAATTACTATTTTATACTCTGTATTTTACACTATATTTTTACATTTATAGGTTCATTCAAAGTCGCAAAGAACTATCAGATCAAGTCAGAAAACTCTAGACTTCAGAGAGATTGTGATCAAAGACAAAAGTTCCCAAAAGGTCAAAGTATCGTTATGGGCTGAAAGAGCAAACCTACCATTTAAAACAAATGACACTCTGTCATTAACAAAAGCTACAGTAGCAGAGTACAACTCCACAAAATATATAAATACCAATAATGAAACTGACATCAAGGTAATCTGACAATGTAAATCAATTAATATTACATGTATTGTTAACATATGCTATTATAAGTGCGCTTTTCCATACGTAATGTCCATGGTTTATAAAAAAGAAAAAACATTCCACTATATAATTTCTACTATAAAATATCAATTAAAAAACTCCAAACCAATACCAATACACATATACTAATAACAGTTTTCCAAGGGACCAAAATCATTCACATTTTTATTCAAGTTATCTTAAGTAAATTTCACTTGTAAAACACAGCTTTCAGAAGGGCCAAACTTTAATATACATTACAAGTTATTGAATATATTTCAACCACATATTCTTTCAATGCTTACAGTTTCTCCCTGATGATGAGGAATTGAGCGATGCCGAATCAACAGATGAACCATTAGAAACACCAAAACTTCCCCAAGGAACAATTACTTCAGTCTCCTCGGTGAATATCTACAGTGGTTGCATCCAGCCAAAATGCTACAATAAGAAACTCATCAATGGTAAATGCCCAAAATGTAATGAAAGTAATGAGGCCAACGCTGTTGATTTGTACATGAACATATCAAATGTGCAGAAAAAAGTATTTACGCAAGTGATGTTCAGCCTTCTACTCTCTCAGGATATGCAACCATCTACTATGACCTCAGATGCTCTTGAGGATGCGATACTTGATCTGATTGGACAAAAAGTGTCATACGATGTACACCCAAATGGTTTCTTCAGCAAAATTTCACTCCTTACATAACTTGTGACTATGATTCATAAACGCAATCACAACAATCAAAAAAATATGCTAAAACTTGCTATAATTTCATTATTATTGCTGCCGTTTTGCTTCCTGATAACTAGTAGTTACTACAGCTTCACAGGTAATCCTGTGACTCAGTTATGATTTAAAATAAGTAATTTCACCTGCTATTTGTAAGGTTAAATTGATTACAGTATTTAGAAAAAAAAAAAAAAATTTATGTCAAGAAAATACATTTCTCTATGAAGGGATTTGTTGTGTAACAGACAATAAAGCTGTGTCCTCTTCTTAATTTGGAGTATGAGACCAGTGTTATTATTTACAAAAGTAGCATAACAAAAAATCCTCGCAATACAAATTACCACAAGATTGTGAGGGAATGCACAAAATCCTACAAAGCAAGTTCTCTATTATACATGTTTCTCAATATACTGTATTGCAGTTGATTTCTAAATAGTTTATCGCCACAAATAATGTATCCTAGTAACGTAGTATTTACCTTTTCTAAAAGAAGATTCTCTCAAAACCACTTATATTCTCCTCAATTGCAGTTGCATTTACATTATCAGAGGAACTAATGTAAATAGAACACCTAAGTAGGACACTTACATATATTGTGCTGTACTGTCCATAGATTAGTCAAAGGTGTAATTATACTAGTCGAGGTAATCAAGTCTATAAATCTCATTCTTTACATAATCATAGAAAATGTCACAAAGTATTACAAATTACAGTATTTACAATCATAAACTTCATAACTTCATTTATTTTTATATGCTTCAACAATATTTCATTTTGTAGTTTTTATATATTGTAGTTAGTACATATGTTATATAATATTATACTCACAGATTTCATAAATTCATTTATTTTTATAAGCATGAACAATATTATTTTTGTAATTTCTCAAATTACCGCAAGATTGTGAGGGAATGCACAAAATCCTACAAAGCAAGTTCTCTATTATACATGTTTCTCAATATACTGTATTGCAGTTGATTTCTAAATAGTTTATCGCCACAAATAATGTATCCTAGTAACATAGTATTTACCTTTTCTAAAAGAAATTCTCTCAAAACCACTTATATTCTCCTCAATTGCAGTTGCATTTACATTATCAGAGGAACTAATGTAAATAGAACACCCAAGTAGGACACTTACACATATTGTGCTGTACTGTCCATAGATTAGTCAAAGGTGTAATTATACTAGTCAAGGTAATCAAGTCTATAAATCTCATTCTTTACATAATCATAGAAAATGTCACAAAGTATTACAAATTACAGTATTATACAATCATAATTTCATTTATTTTTATATGCTTCAACAATATTTCATTTTGTAGTTTTTATATATTGTAGTTAGTGGAAGTTGTAGTTATATGTTATATAATATTATACTCACAGATTTCATAAATTCATTTATTTTTATATGCATGAACAATATTATTTTTGCAATTTCTCATATATTATAGTTACTTCATATGTTATGTAATTGATATTATCAACTTCAAAATGTTATGATGATGGTACTTTTATTATATATTGTAATTAGTTCATTAATGATGGTAGTTTTTATATATTTTAATTACTTCATATGTCGTTCTTAATATAGCCAGCTTCAAAATATAATGATGGCCAGTGAGAATTTCAACTCATTATTAGTTTTTGTACTTCTTTTTATAATATAATTAATAAATTATGTAGTTCACATATTCATAATCAAGTTTTGCATCTTTTTTATTTTTATCTTGTGTTATATTTTCATATCCCTATTTATTAATACAATTCATTACAACACTGCAACATCTCCTTCACACGAGCCTTCATTTTTTTAAAATGATCACTTGTTAACGCATTTGACATAGCTCTAAATTCCAGAACTGTCAGGAATAATATCCATGACCTTCAAATAGATATATGTACACAGGATGTACTGGTGGATTAATCATGTATCGATTTCCAAGGTCTTCTATGATCAGTTCTCAACAGGTTAAGGTAGCCAAAGAGGGAATGCCTTTCCTTTTGAATGAGTATTCCAGTACACCTGGAAAAGATCATCGTTGATAATTTTCATACCAACCGGTCTTTCTTAATGAAAATGCAAAATGCACCTGGATCGATATTTAGGAAGAAGACACACCAAATCAGATGCGCATCACATCGCATATGGAGCATGGCAGTGCCACAGATGATCACTTTAAACGTGTAACCGTCCGCTAGCTTCATGCCTCAGTCAACTTTGAACTATGGCAATCGTAGGACGGACGTAGCTCCCCAAAAAGAGAGAAATTGGCAGCATAAAATATAATGTAAATTTTCTATATCGATTTTGTGAAGCTACGTCCGCCGTTAGGCCTCCGTAGAGCAAATGCAACGGAGGTCTTAGTATATCTGTCAATTTGGAATTACATTTTCTTGCCTTGTTTATGTTTACCAAACCACTAATAATAAGGCTGTTTTATCAATAACTGTCAAAACACCTTCACCCTCTGCCATTTGTTGGACGCCGAACGCCGAACACTGACCGCCGAACGCCTAACACCGTCAACAATAAAGTTTGAAACTAATGATTGTGCAATACGATTATACTATTTCTTATCTCAAACCCCTCTCATCCTCACTCTTCTTGAAATTCTTTTCCAATACTTTCCTGATTGTGGCCACGAGTGTTGAAGAAATGGTAAGTCTATTTTGTAAGGATCCACTTTTGGCATTTTTCCCTTTCTCTTTTTGAATGAAATGGAAGAAAGGATGGGTATCGATATGGTGAACTTTTTGAACACACGATTCTCATAAATCAGTCATCAAAAGATTCTGAAAGTTTTACACATCGTCAATTTAATGGTCATCTTTTGAAGGGTAACACTATTATTTGAAAAATATGTATACCCTTTTCTCTATATTGTTTTAACACATCAGACACTTCTTTTGTTCTTGGTATCATATGTTCGGAATGAAATGAAAAACCTATTTGGCTTTAGATCTGTTTATTCCATCCATTGCTGATCGATATTCCACAAGCTTTTAATTTTCAACAGAAAAATAACCATGGCATATTTATGGGAAAAATAAGTGTATGTTTTCAGGGATATTTGAATATTGAATCACTGCGCCCCGTGCTATACATGTTGTTATGACGATGAAGGTTTACGATGATTGCCTAACACGACGCTAGGGAGATATCCTAGACAGTTTTCTAAGTGATGAGTCGACCTAATTTAGACCTAGATCTTAGTCGAATAATTCAGTGTAACAATTTCGCAATCAGGTCAGTTTGACATCTGACATGACCTCGAAAACTATATCCAATGAAGCAAAAAGAAGTAGGTCCACAGGGTCTCTTCACACGTTACACGGACTAAATGGACACATAATTGTTTAGCGACTTTTATGGACACTCTGTATATCTGATGTACATATCGAGATTTGATATTGTTCAGGAGGTGATATAGAAACATCGAATATCACCTCCGTAAAGGTAATATACAATGTTTCTAATTTTGTATACTAGTTAGTATGATTTTCACCAAAATTCCCGATCAAGCGTGAGTTTTGAAACAATATGTTAACATCTAATTCTTAAAATAACTATCGTGGATCGATGATCATGATGTGCCTTTTTATGAATTTCCCTTCTCATAGAATAGCCTAAAATCCCACCCAATGTGTTCCACAGGATACAAACTCAGATATAACTTGTAAAAATAACAACATTGAGATGGTATCGTATGTGTTTCATAGTTTGGTAACGTTTGATATCTTTCAATTTCCTTGGAGTATTTGCTTTGCACAGGATGTGGTGTAGAGCGATGCGATATAGCGGTTAACAGCAGCACGGGGTTCTAGTTTTCTTATCTTGTATACTTAAAAAAGGTCTTGGAAGGTCAGACTCTGGAGAATCCGCTGAGGTGTTACATCATCTGTATCACATACACCTTGATTGAATACAGTATCGGACATGTCAACTTCCAGGTCGGCCTCTAACGGAGATACTTATTTTCCGTGCTTATTATAACGTTCCACCTCGTCCGAATTGGCCAGAAGTACTCGAAGGCAAAAACCGCTTTTACAAACTGGCTTCTTACGTACTACAGAAGCCGGCTTATGGAGTCACCAAGAAGCCGGCTTTTAAAAGCCGGCTTCTGAAGGACAACAGAAGCCGGCTTCTGGAGTCACCAAGAAGCCGGCTTTTACAAACTGGCTTCTTACGTACTACAGAAGCCGGCTTCTACAGTCAACAAGAAGCCGGCTTTTAAAACTGGCTTCTTACTAACCCCCCATATCACACCAAACTAGTTCTTACCCATTCTTGCAAGTCCTACGAAAACGTCGTAAAACGGGCTCAATCTGGCTGTAGTCGGGAATATGTCTGAAATAATTAGCTTCTTCGTTCTTAAACAGTCTTAGTCTAGTCAATGACCTGATTACAGAACGGCATGGTCGCCATCGAATTTTGAATCGATTCCCGTCTAAGAACGTTCATAAAGTTCGTAAATAGACCTTAGAAAGTTGCAGCTACGTTCATTCCGTTCGCACACAGTTTAAAACCAGTTTTGGAGAACGCAGTGGCAACTTGTTTGGTGTGATAGCTATATTTTTGCTAACTCGTTCATAAACAGTGTTAAATACGTTCTTAATCAGTTTAAACCCGTTTGCAATTAGTTCTACCTCGTTCTAAACACGTCCTCAGACAGTTCAACTCGTTGTTAAAACGTCCCTAGTAGGATTGAAGTACGACGGTTTCGTTCGTAGTACGTCCAGCTCGTCGTTAGTACGTTTTCACTCGTTCTAATTGTAGAACGTGACGACCACGAGAACATTGTGAGCATTGTCTGAGTTCTAGAGGACCTACCCGTTCGAGTACGTTCGATGAAGTTTGTAAATAGATCCCAAACGGTTCTTAGTAGGTCCAGTCCGTTCGTACACAGTTGAAGCCCGTTTTCGAGAACGTAGTGAGAACTAGTTTGGTGTGATAGTAGGGTTACTGACGTACTGCAGAAGATGGCTTTTGAATATAGTTTATATTGTCATATTTTTGCAAAACTATACGGGTAAATTGAATTCTAAGCATGGATATCGATGAATTTGATCACGTTCATCAATTCCAAAAATATTATGCATTGTATTTCTGTTTAATAAAAACGCACCGCTCATTTTTCAAAACTTGGAGCCAGTTTTCAAATCAGCTCGCACCATTAAACACAAGCTATTAACGGACAATCTAGCCACGGGGAATCACGAGATACTGTCTCCCGATAATTTTGATGTGGATTATGCATCTTATTCTCGTATATGCATGAAAATAAGGAAAACTGAAAAATATGTAAAATTATAACATAACTCAAGATTTTTTGCAAAAAGTCATTTCAAGACAAAACTATGAGAGAAAATTGAAGTCTAAGTAAAAACATCGATGAATTAGATCATGTTCACTAAATCAGAACAGATTATGCATTGCATTTCCGTTTTATAAAAACGCACCGCTCATTTTTCAAAACTGGCTCCAACTTGGAGCCAGTTTACAAATCAGCTCGCTCCATCTTACACAAGCTATGTAGGGACAATCTAGCAACGTTTCACATAAATATAATCGTGAGACAGTATCCCGTGATTCCCAGTTGCTAGATTGCCCCTACATAGCTTGTGTAAGATGGAGCGAGCTGATTTGTAAACTGGCTCCAAGTTGGAGCCAGTTTTGAAAAATGAGCGGTGCGTTTTTATTTAACGGAAATGCAATGCATAATCTGTTCTGATTTAGTGAACGTGATCTAATTCATCGATATTTTTACTTAGAAATAAAAAATTTTTAAATTAAAGTTGGAGCCAGTTTTGTAAAATGAGCGATGCGTTTTTATTAAACGGAAATGCAATGCATAATCTGTTCTGATTTGGTGAACATTATCTACTTCATCGATATTTTTTACTTAGAATTGATTTTTCTCTCATAGTTTTGGCTTGAAATGACTTTTTGCAAAACATCTTTAAACATATTGCAATTTTATGTATTTTTCAGTTTTTTTTCTCATTTTCATGCAAATTATACGAGAATAACATGCATAATGC